CCCCCCCCCCCCACACACACAGACCCCCATCACTCATCAGCCGGATGGGTTTGATTAAGCAACTGGGAGGGGATCATCAGGATGCCGGAGCGTTCTGGCACGGCCGCCAGATGCCAATCTTCGCGCGTCTTCGGTGGCACCTGGCGGGGGCGAATCCCGAAAACCGCTCTCGCTGGTGCCTCAGGGACAACCCCGCGAAATGGGCCCTCCCTGCGGTGGCTGTCCGCGCCCGCCTGGCGGAGAGCCGGCCACCCCGCTCCTCTTTCCTCGGCCCCCCCCCCCCTCCCCTCCCTCCCCTTTCCGCGCGCGCGCGCGCACACACACGCACTGGGACCAGCCTCCGCGCCACCTCTTCCCCGACCCTCCACGCCCCCGCCCTTTCGATCTCGCCCGCCGCTCGGCCCCCGACTGTCGCCTCTTTCCGCCCTGCGGAGCGCGCGTCCTGGCGCGCGTGTCCCACCTCCCTCCCTCCCTCCCTCTCTCTCTCTCTCTCCCTCCTCGCTCCCTTTCGCCCCTCCTCCTCTCGGCGGTTGTAAATGGCCAACGCGCCGCCGAATCCCCTCCCGCCGGCGACGGCCCCCGTGGCCCGGACATGGCCACAGCCTGGCGGCCGGGCGGCAGCGCCGGCCGGCGGGAGACCCGCCTCCTCGGGGCCGGTCGCGCGACCGGCATCGGCTCCAGGGCCCACCCCGCCCCGGTTGGCGAATCAGCAGCCGCAGCAGTCTCCCGGGCTGGCATCCATCCTGCATGTGGTGGACCTGTTGTGCCTGTTGCGGGCGGTGCTGGAGGCCGGGCCGCCGCTTTGGTGGGCCGGCGGCGTCCAGCCGGATGACCACTTTTCCGGGGACTTCCTGCAGGAGGTTTGGCTGGGGGTGGCTCGGCGCGTGGCCGAGGTCACCGGCGACGAGGAGGCGGCCGTGGCGGCGTTCGCCCCGCAGCCGACTCCCCCGGGATCCGGCACCCCGCCGCACCCGTTGTCCCCCTTCGCCGTTGGCGACCTCCTGGCGTCCGAGGCTGACGCCGAGCTCCTCGGGGGCGAGCTCCTGGCCGGGATCCGCTCCACGGCCGAGCTCTACCTCCGGACGCCGGCATACGGCCAGCTGTATCGGCGTCTGGTGGGGGATTTCGCTCGAACTGCATCTGTTCCGACCGAGCTCCGCCTGCCGCCGGGAAGCCATCTGCGCCCGCGGACCGGGGGCCCCGTATCACCGGTGGTTCGTCTTTCGTGCCCTCGTCCGCCTCCCGGAGGGCTGCCCTGTGGCGCGGCCTCTGTGTGTTTGTGCTAATCCCCCGCTCTTCCCTCCTCCCTCCTCCCTCCCTCCCCCCCCTCTTCACCGGCCTCCTCTGCTCTGGCCGCCTTCCCTTTTTTCTTCCCGCCTCTTCTTCCTGCCCAGCAATGCTGGCGGACCTTCTCCGCCCTGGTGGCAGCCGAGACACCGGTGGACATGAGCCACACTCGCTTCCCGGCGACGCTGCCGCTGGGCCCCGCCGTCGACCGCGGGGCCCTCCTCCCCGCCATCCTGACTCGACTGCGCTTCCACCTGGCCTTCCAGCTGGCCGTTCTCCAGCGCCTCGACGAGCTGGCCCTGGCCTCGGCATTGGAGCTGCGCCGTCAGTTGACGACCGGACCGGAGGTCGCCGACGCCGGCGCCGGCGGCTCGCCGCCCGGCCTGGCGGGCAGCCACCTGTCCCCCAAGCAGGTGGCTCAATTGCTGGCGTCCTTGCAATCGGCCGATCCGAACCCCCCGGCCCTGGCATTGCTGCCCTTCTCGGCGAGCCTGCTCCGACGCCCAGGCGAGTCTCTCTCGTCCGAGCGCCTGCCGGCCTGGCCGCCGGCCGTCGCGCAGGACGTCCTGCATTTTGGCCCGCCGGCCTCCGAGGCCGTGGCCATCTCGATGGATCTGGACTCCTCGCGTGGGCCTCCTGCCGGTGCGTCAAGCGGCATGGGGCTTCTTCCACCGGCTCCTCGGTGCACCCCTTCGTGGCTAACATGTGACCGATGGCCTTTCGCCATGCCGCGCAGTGACTCCCTCGGTGTCGCGCCCTACCACGGCCCCGGCGCCCATGGCCGTGGACCCTGCCCCGGCGCCGGCGGCCCCCCCGGCGGCTGGGGGCTCCCTGCCCTCGGCGGAGGGCGCGCCCCAGGCCACGGGTACCGAGCGGCCTGGGCCCTCGTCCCCGCCCCCGGGCGAGCCTCGCCGCGCCGTGTCGCCCTCCTCTCCACCACCCAAGTCCGTGGGATCATCCCCGCCCGGGCGCGGGTCGCCTGGGTCAGCCCCGCCAAGTCCCGACACAGCGAAGGAGTCCCCGGGGCCGGCATCGCCGCCGGACAGCGAGGCGACCCCCCCCAAGCCGGCGGCCGATCCTGGCCCTGTCCCCCGGAAGGCTCCCCGGCACACTCCCGAGCCCAAGTCGCCGGCAGCCAGTGGCCCATCCTCCGGGCCGGCGGTCGGTCCTTTGCCCGCGGCGGCCGGCGCCGCGCACGATGGCGAAGCCATGGCGCGGCCCCTCCCCGAATCGGGGCTGGAGTCAAGGTCGGCCCCGGGGCCGGCCTCGCAGTTGTCTCCCATGGCCACCCCCGAGGCCAAGCCCGAATCCGAGCCTGAGCCCGAGGCCGTGCTCGGTCCTGAGCCGGCGGCTGTCCTTGCTGCCGCACCAAAAGCCGTGCCCGAGTCTGTGCCCGAGTCTGCGCCCGAGTCTGCGCCCGAGTCTGTGCCCGAGTCTGTGCCCGAGGCCGTGTCCGAGGCCGTGTCCGAGGCCGTGTCCGAGGCCGTGCCCGAGTCTGTGTCCGAGGCCGGGCTCGCATCTGATGCCAACGCCAAGCCTGAGCTCGAGCCCACGGCCAAGCCCGAGGCAGGACCCGGACTCGAGCCGGAGACCGGCACACCCTCCGGGCCGGGCCCCGAGTCAAGCCCTGTGTCCCCCTCTGCCGACCCGGAGGGGCCCCCGCCAGCTGACCGCAGTGCGAGTGACAGCGACGCGGACATGCAGGATGCAGAGCAGGGCTCCCTCGACAGCCTTGAATCCGTGCCGGCGCCTGATCCAACCAAGCATGTGGCATCGGCGGCACCGGCCGCGGACGGGGCCTCGACCCCGGCGGTGGCCAGCGCCCCGACATCGCCTTCTCGGACAGCCTCGCCTTCGTCGACGCCCCCGGCAACGCGGCCAGCTGGGCCCGCCGGCCCTGCCACCCTCGCGCCGGCCTCTGACGTCTCCATGGCCGATGTCCCCGAGGCCGATGACGCCGGGGCTTCGACCGGTGTGGCCGATGTCCCGATGGCTGATGCCGCCGTGGCCGGCCAGGCGGCGAGCGAGGCGGCTGTGGCTGGCTCCGCCGGAAGTGAGCCCCCTCCTGAGGATGTCTCCGTGACGGCCGGCCCGCCGGGCGCTGTTCCGCCGGTCGCCATCTCACCCGCCGAGGACCTTTCCCCTCCTGATGTCACCATGGCCGATGCCCCGGTGGCCGGCGCGCCGGTGGCCCATGGTCCTGTTGAGGCGGCCGAGCGTGGCGAGATGGTGCCCGAGGCCGAGGGCCCCGACGAGCCCGCAGCCGGTGGCACCGCCGCCGGCCTCTCCACAACTGCTGCCCCCGCAGCTGACGCGCCGCCGGCCAAGACGGTCACGGATGAGGCCGACAAGGAGGCCGATGCCCAGTCCACCGAATCTGGCCACTCCGCCATGGAGCCTCCCGAGACCGAGGCGCCTGCCGCCGGGCCCTCCGCCCTTGGCGTCCCTGCATCTGCGGCCCCTGAAGGTGAAGCACCTGCTGCCGAGCCACCTGTGGAGGGGGTGCCTCATTCCGAGCCACCTGCCGCGAGGGTGCCTGTGGACGAGGCCCCTGCAGCCGAGGTGCCTGCCGCCGAGATTGTTACCCCCGAGACCCCTGCCGCCGAGACTCCCACCGCCGAGACTCCCACCGCCGAGACCCCTGCCGCCGAGACCCCTGCCGCCGAGATCCCCACCCCCGGCGCCACGGTGCCGGAGGACCCCACAACCGGGACTCCAGCCGATAGCTCGTCTCCTGTCGAGCCACCGAGTGCAGCTGCCCCTGCCGCCGACGAGCCCATGCCTGTAGACACCCCCGGCGGCCCTCCATCGCCGAGCGTCCCCGACAGCGATGCCGGCGCCAAGGAGGCCGATGATGAGGAGGACGTCCCAGGACCGGCTGCTGCGTCGGGAAGTCCGGCCCCTGGGCCGGCTGCTCGGGACCCGACCCCGGCCTCGGCTGTTGACAGCTCCGCCGGGGGATTGGCCCCCGAGGGCCCCGAGCAGCCGGCTGCGGAGGTGCCGGCTTCCTCGACGGTGGCGCCCGGCGGGGGTGGCACTTTCACCGACGCCAGCCGGGGGGCGGCCCCCTCAGGGTCGGCACTCTCCTCGGAGTTGGCACACCGCACTGCCGGCGGCCAATCTGCAACGACCCCGGTCCCGGGCTCCGAGCCGACGGGCCATCTGTCGCCTCTTTTTAGCCCCATTTCCCCGGGGCCGGTGGCCGCTGAGGCGGAAGTCTCGGCCGCCGGCCGGCGCGAGCCGGCGCATGAGGGCCCCGCGCTCGGCGAGGAGGCGCCCTCGGACCGGCCGGCCGAGGTGAGCACCCGCAAGCGGGCTTCCTCCCCGTCGGACGCCGAAATGAGCGACGGCACCGCCTCGCCGGTCCCACCTTCCAAGCGTCCTCGGGCCGGGCTCTCCTCGCCCTCGCTCTCCGCCGCCCCGGCTGACCGCGACTCGAAGAAGTCCTCCGAGGAGGAGAGCCGCCGCATGCGGACCTTCCGCCGGACGGTGGCCATCCTGTTTGACCGTACGCCCCCCCCCCCCCTCCCCCCTTGCCTCCCTCCTGCCGGCACCTCTCGGTGCTCTTTCTTTTTGTCGATATGTCTCCTGACACCGAGTGGCAGAAATCCTGAATCTGCGCCATGCGCCGGTCTTCTCGAATCCGGTCAAGCCGGACCAGGCACCCCGCTATCACTCCACCATCCTGGCACCGATCGACCTGCCGCAGGTCCGGCAGCGCATCACCGACAGCGTGCGTCCCTCTCCCCCCCTCCTCGTGCCCCCGCGCGCACACGCCTCCGCATGCACACTCGTGCATGTTCCCCGCCACTGGCCCTCGATTCTGATGGGCTTTCTTCGGGTCCTGACCACACACCGACACACCCACACATCCACACACCCACACATCCACACACTCACACACCCAAACACGCATCCACACACACCCACACCCACACCCACACCCACATATCCACACACCCACACTCACACACCCACACACCCACACGCACCCACACACCCACACGCACCCACACACCCACACGCACCCACACACCCACAGCGCGTCCGCAACCTGGACGAACTTCACCGCGACGTGCTGCTGGTCTTTTCCAATGCATTGATGTACAATCCGGAGGTGCCGCCACCGCCGCCGCGAAAGATCAGCATCACGCCGGCCGCCCTGTCGCAGAGCACCTACTACGACTACTCCAGCGTCTCGGGCGGTGTGCACGCCATGGCCACCGAGATGTGGCACGGGTGCGAGCGTCTGATTGCGGCCTTCCGCGAGACGCAGCGCTCCAGCTCCGGGTCCAGCGCGGCGGCGGCCAACCTGGCCAGTCTGGTGCTCGCACACACCGGCGGGCTGGCCACCACGCGCCTCGATGATGCGACCCTCGGGGACATCCTGGCCTCGCTGCCGACCGATGTCTATCCCAATGAGTCGGAGCTGTTGATCTCCCTTTGCGAGAGTTTGGCCGAGGAGGTCTCGCCCGATGTCGCGGTACGTGCCGCGCCCTGCCGTGGCATCTGCCTGCCGCTCTCTTTCATCCATCCTTTCTCCTTATCTCTTTCCGTCTCTCTTTTTTCCTCGTCCCCTCTCCGTCCCTCCTCCCCCTTTCCCGTTCTCCGCGTGCCTTCTCCCCTGCACAACGTATCGCTGCTCCTTGGCCGTTCTCCTCGCCACCTCACACTCCGCCCCCTGCGCGAACGTGACACTTCCACTCCCCCCCCCTCCCCCCCTCTCCCTGCCTGGCAGAACGAGGCCCCGGATGATTCGCAGTATTCCCAGCGGACACGCGGCCGGCGCCGGCGCGGGGCGTCGGTGTCGGCGCCGACGCGCGCGCCGCCGGTTCGGCGGACCCGTTCGTCCGCGACCGCGACCATCAGCGGCCCGGCCAGCGGCGCGCCGCCCTCCTCCCCGCGGCTGGATTCCCCGGTGCCAGACCCCCCGAGCGAGGGTGGCGACCATGGCGCGGAGGATGCGCCTGCTTCTGACACCGGGGCCGCAGCCGCTCGGCGTCGGCGAGCGTCCACCACGCAAAAGTAGGCCCCTCGTGTCGGGAGGCCGGTCACGCCGCACAAGAAATACACACAAACGCTTCCCTGCGCATGTGCCGGGTGTCGATGCGTCGTGGGGGTGGGGGTGCGCACGCGGTGCACCTGCGTCCCGCGGGCCATGGGGGACGCGCGCGCATGGGTCGGGCCGGGCCAGGCCGAGCATGTGGCAGGGGCGAACAAGGAGGGCGCTGGCCGGGCGGGAGGGGGGAGGGCAAGGAAGCCGGCAGGATCCCCCAGCTTCTGAGCCCCCGCCCCCGCCCCTCTCTCTGCTCATCCTCACGCGTGGAGATGGTCTCCCCTTTCCGACGGGCAGGGGGAGAGGGGGGAGGGTCGAGAGCGCGATCCGCCGGGCCCCCTTCTTCGCAAGGCCACAGGGAACAGGCCGAACGAGGAGGGGAACTAGGGGGCGGGGAGAGGGGGGGGGGGGGGGGTTGCCCCACTGGCGGAAGAAGGCTCGGGCTTCTTCACCCGCGGCCGGGCCAGATCCCGACGGACTCCGCTGGGTGGCGGTGCGCCCGCCGGTCCATCTTTCGCACTCCGGCCGCGCCGGCCCGGCCGCACGACAAGGAAGGATGGGCGCATGTCGCCGCGGTGCGCCCCCCCCCCCCCCCCCCCCCCCCCCCGGGGCGAAGAAGGCAAACGCCGCCGTGGCAGATCGGCGGAGCTTCTGCCCGGGCCGGGGCGAGGGAGCGGATCGTGAGAAAAAGAATGGCCGCCGGGGGCCGAGCTGAGGTGCCAGCGGGTGGCCCGGCCGCGGGTGGCCGGGCGGGGCGCGCGCACCGGCGGCAGGAGGGGAGCCCGCACCGGGGGGGCGGCCCTTGCGCAGGCACCTGTGTCCGGCTCCCCCGGCCTCCCCCGGCGAAGACGCCCGAAGACTTGCCGGCACGGGCGCCGGTCCGCCGGCCCGCCAGAGCCTTCGGCGCGCAGCCCCCCCCCCCCCCCCCCCGGCCGCTCTCTGCGCAGCCCCTGTATCTCCCCCCCCTGCCGTCCATATATTTGAATGTACCTCGACCTCGGCCGTGCAAGGGGCCGCATTCCAGCTGTTCCGTGATGCGCGGGCCCGAGATTGGCCCGACTAAACGCTTGTCAGCGGGGAGGCCCGCCGCGGGGGGGG